CAGCGAGTTGAAGGCACAAACTAAACTGTTTATCATTTATTCTTTATGGTACGCCAGCATTCAGAACATGTAGGCCAATCACTGTCCCCCAGACATCCGCAATAATATTTTTTATATTTATATCTTTTTAAAACAAAGCAGAGTGTGTATGACGTCAGACATATTTGCACCAGAGTGGTACCTCTTGTCACAGTTACTCAACAACATAAGCGATGCATTGATGACAAAGAATATAGTATGAATTGTATCATGTATAATGTATCATATCAAATTAAACTGTACAATCTAGGCTACAATCCAGCACATACCTTTTTGAAATAAGCAAAACACAATTAAATTTACATCCAAATGAAATAAAACGTAAATAGAACGTAAATACATGGCACAATAGCAACTTATGAACATTGCTGTCTCCAGAGCCACAATCCTGCATCAAACCACCACAAAACACACAGAAAAGCAGAGATCCCATAGAATCCAGTCATGTGCTTCACTTTCCACTAAACCAAAGCATTGCATAGATACAAGCCAAAAAGCAAGAAAGTAAACTGCTTAGCCAGAAATCTTTCCTGTCTGGATCTTGATACAATCTACAGCCTCTAACAATTTCATTAATGCATGATTCACCAAAATCAACCGATCCGTTGTGGAGTTTTGACCCTGCGTAACCACACACAGCCAGCTGCTGGGAAACTGTGAAGGCACAGATATGTGTGTTTGGGTGGATGTGTGGATGAATTTATAAACAGTTACCCAGAACTTTGGGATTAAACTCTCCTCATCATTTATATACCTGCCTCACTGTCTACTTGCTGCCAGAATATAAACTAATCTCTCTACTTCTATGTGTTCCCAAAAGTTTGTTACTCTTCCCTTTCCTGTCATTCAGCCTCATTGGAAACAAAGCAGCTTCTGGCTACATCTGATTGGACAGGTGCTAGCCACGTCTGACCTTCCCTTCCAACGAAGTCTAGCCTGGTGCTGTCAGCTACTCCAGTTCAAGTCTGCCAGACTCAGCCTTGATCTTCTCTAAGACCTGCCTGCCTTCCCTTTGTCAGCAACAGCGGCATCTTTGTCAATAAAAATGTCTTAAATTAAGCATATTGACCCTTAATTTGAGTAGGTAAATAAGATTTGCAGATGGAGGAGATTTTTTTACTCTTAAAATAATTAGATAATATGTACTTGAAATAAGATGATGCAATTGTTTTTTCTTATTTTGAATGTAAATTATCTTTTTCCATCCTCAATTCAATAACTAGAATTTACTGCAACACATACATCCATTCTTTGAAAACAAGGTTAGACTCATTAAAGACGAAACGAGGTCACATCTTTATTGCCATTGAGCACCCAACTTCCTGCTCCATCTGTGACCAATCACAGCACCCTCATGTTTCACTCTTTAATGACACATTTGACTCACGTTTTACTACACTATAAAGGCTACTGTTTATCAACCTATCACTAAAAATGAAGGTCACAGCTAAAAAAAGATGATGACAAAAACTTTTTGACCTTCAGTCAAAATGACAATGAAAAAAATCTACTGCCGCCTCTGATTTAAAGCCAATATAAACTGATGATATAATTAGTGGCGCAAGGTTATCCCCATTAAATTTAAAATGTGAGGGCAGGGACTATCTTTCTATAATCTTTGAGGTTAAAAAATGTTGCTCAATAGTTTGTCTGGTCCTAGATTCAGAACTGGCTTAAACATGTATATTAATGTAATCTTTATCAGACCATATTGTCCCAAAATGTAGAAATAAAAAAAAAAAAAAAAAATAAAATCCTTTCTTAAAATCTTCTGCAGGCCAGTTAGTTCTACGTCAGCCGAACACCTAAATTCGGCCAATCATATATCAAAGGTCATATGTCAATCAATTTTTTTCGGTGTTAGCATCTCGATTTATATGTCGCAGCTAATATACGCAACGGTTGAAATCAGTAATCAGAATGATTTCCTTTCCCATTGAGTTCCGTCCCAGTGTCCACGGGGATGGACGTCTGTGTCTTCAGCAGGCGTAGA